TATATATATGTGTGTATATATATATGTGTATATGTGTGTGTATATATATATATATTTTTTAATATATGAATTATGAAGTTCTTGTTATCTCATATAGGAAATCATATTTGTGATATTTTCAAAACAGATCTGTTTTTTTGTTTGTCTACATAGAAAAAAAAGAAAAGGAAGAACAAAAAGAAAAAAGATGGCACCGTGTCATCAGATCAAGATCTGTCACACATTTCTCTGGGAGATAAGCAGGGGAGGGAGACACAGGGAGAAAGAGACTCTTCTGACAGTGAAAGCTCAGACAATGCAATGGATACAACACCAGATTCACTCCAAGATAGGCTTTCCTCGTTAGAAAGCCAGTCTAGTTTTTTGCCAGCTAGTGATATTGTTGCCACCGCTGAAGATGCCCAAACCAATCAGAGTGAAAAGTCTGATGCCCCAGTACAGGCAAATACAGTGGAGCGGTCTGAGGTGGTGACAAGTAGCCCAAACGAGATGGAGAGCAATGTACAACAATCTCCTGACAATCAGCCACAGAAGACAGGACCAGCCGACACTCCAGCTGAACATCCTGCCTCAGAGGACAACAAGAGTACAACCTCTCAGTCAGCTTCAAGTGAAGGGACCAAGGCCACTACGGCTAAAGAGCCAAAGGAAAAAACCTTGAAGAACCAGAAAGAAGCAGACAATGCTAAAAAACCTAAACAGGACCAGAATGCTAATGTGGCTGCAAATGCAAAGCAGTCAAAGGAAAACACGCAGAAGGGAAAAAATCAGCAGGAACCGAATCAGAAGCAACCTGTTGCAACTGGCCAAAAAAAGGTTTTTGGACCTCATACAGCAAAGGTAATGCTGTAACATTTAAGAGAGACATCAGTCCCATAACTTTCAGATCTACAGTATTTATACATATTTATCATATATTTAATGCTACAGACTCACAACACTGGCTCCAGTGTGGACCCAGTGGAGAACATGGAGATTCAGCAGTCTGGGACCGGGCAGGACTTGACTCCAGCGCAGGCTTCAAATGATAAAAAAGGATCTAAAGACGGCGGTGGCGACAGCAAAAATTCAAAAACTCAAACAGCTCCGCCTCCTAGAAGGTAATAAAATCCTTACAGATAATTGTTTAGTTTATTTTTTAACTAATCTTTTGCCTTTTTTTGTCTAAATTTTGTTTTCTCTTTTTGGTTTTTAGACCAACAAGGAACACAACCATTGCAGCACGTGACAGACTCACAATTTACTTCCACGCGATTCTGTCAAAGGATTTCAAATTTGATCCAAGTGAGGATCGTATTTTCATCAGGGCTGGGTCATGCATTGGAAACTGGGATGAAGATACAGTTGAACTGTCTGTGTCCAGGTACTTATTCTTGATTTAAATGTCAATTATGTCTACAATGGTTCATCACTCTAAAAATATATCACACAATCAGAATTTGTTACACTACATTTAATACCAAAAGGAAAAAATACCATCAGATTTTGGTCTACCATGCAGTACCATCTGGAAATCATCTGATTTGTAATAGCTTGACAAGGATCCCAAACCCACTGCCACTACGATAAAGCATACCTGGATATAAAATTTTTTTTTATGACTTTTATGACTCCAGAGCCTGGACCTTGAGATTACTGAAGCATAGTGGCATCATCTTGACAGAGAACAAAACAAATGGCAACATCCAAAGAAGAGCTTTGAATGCTCTTCAAGAATACTTACAAGAAAGCTTGCCTAATAGTATGGAGTGCCAGGACTGCCATAATGCATTAATTAAATACACCATTAAATAATTAATTAAATGTGGCAATAATTAATTAAAATTGGAATTAATTAATTAAATAAATAGTTATGACACATGTAATTAATTAATTATTGACACATTTAATTAATTATTTATGTATTTCACATTTTAATTAATTATTGACACATTTAATTAATTAATTATTGACACATTTAATTAATTATTTATGTATTTCACATTTTAATTAATTATTGACACATTTAATTAATTATTGACACATTTAATTAATTATTTAATGATATATTTATTTATTTCATTTTGGCAGTCCTGGCGCCTGGCTCTCATCATGAAATAATTTTATCTGTCAGCCTCACCCATCAAACTCAGGGGGCGGGGTTAACGCTGCCCATGCAGCTTCTCTAACATTTGATTGGTTGCCGTGCAAAGTAAGTCAAAACAGGTCGATCCTAGATAATCGATTGCTTGTGTAGACTTGGGGCAGCCAGGTATCCCAGAATGCAGATCAAATCACAGGCAGCAATGGTGGTGGTGTAGTTTTAAAATACCCCGTTTTTCTGTCACCAGCTACACTTTTAACAGTGTTTTAGCCGCGAATGTCGCGCCGTATGTCTGGTCAGGTTGTCAACATAGAACATGTTTGCAAAAGTGCTCAGATGTTTTCAGAGATTTCACTAGCTCTGCTAACAATTAGCATGCAGAGTGCACCCAGGGGGTTACGTTAACCGGTTTGTTTACATATTCCACTCTCCGTGTTCCACATGTTGCATTCGCAGATTCTCATTTTCACCGAACGATCGTCTCTTTCCGCCTGGTCTTGTGTCTCTGTGCTTCTGTAACATAAAGAACGAGCTGACATTTTTCTCACGAAACCAGCGATCAGCTCAACAGACCCTCAGTTTACCTGCATGCATCCTCCTCCTCATCTGTCAGCTGTTTAACACCTGCTGCTAATTCAAGAAACACGCCTACGTTACCTGGTGATAGTCACAGTTTAACCGGGCAGCCGGTACTCGATATAAAGCAATGTCAGCGCATTTTTCTGCACAAGATAAGTAAATATAGTGTTTTCCCCGAGCGCAGAGCTGCTGGAGCTTGTTTCCTTACAGAGCACTTTATAGGCGAACCAGCTTCATCAGCGGCTGTATTGTGGGGTTAGAGATGCGTCCATTAGGCGTCTGCAGGTTGTGCAAAATGCTGCAGCACATCAAGTCTGAGCACATTATCAACAGACCCTCAGTTTACCTGCATGCATCCTCCTCCTCATCTGTCAGCTGTTTAACACCTGCTGCTAATTCAAGAAACACGCCTACGTTACCTGGTGATAGTCACAGTTTAACCGGGCAGCCGGTGCTCGATATAAAGCAATGTCAGCGCATTTTTCTGCACAAGATAAGTAAATATAGTGTTTTCCCCGAGCGCAGAGCTGCTGGAGCTTGTTTCCTTACAGAGCACTTTATAGGCGAACAGCTTCATCAGCGGCTGATGTCCAATCACCGGCACACAGCTTTGAAACCTCAGCTGAGTTTTAGCTCTCAGTGGTTAAACGCTGGACTTCATTCACTCAGGTTCTGTCTGTCGGGTCACGTTTACTTCGCTGTTTTATTTACAACTGAGCAAATCGGTTTGGCTGAGGTTAAAGTTACGTTTCATAACTGCATAGTTTCACAGACGTTTAATGGTTCACTGGCACATGTGTTAGACTGAACTATCATCTAAATATCATCTGTTTTTTAATAGTTATTCAACTGTATTCTAAGCACCAGCTGTCTGTTAGAATGTGATTTTTTTCTCTCTCTCTGTTGGCAGAGGTATAAAAATGCGCAGGAAAATCTGACGTGCATGGCAAACTTCACCGACGATATTTAGGGAGGAATAAACACACATCAAACATAAATGAACCATTTGCCTGTCTCCATAATTGAGAGCATTTTCTCTTCTTATGTCAACACTCTCTCTCTCTTTTTTTTTTTTGCTTTTTCGGTCATGTTATGTTTACCTGTCAAAGGCTTGTTACAAACTATGAAACACATCGTGCAGACTTCTGGATGTTAGAAGAAAACTAATACTGCTCATGAAGGAGACTAAAGGCAGGAAGGTGTCCTTTAAAACTAAACATGTTAATAGGACCTCCCTATTTATATCATAGTTTATGATATAGCACGTGTATTTCAGTAATAGCCTGCTGATTTCAGGTGAACAGTCGCTCACGTAGGCGTTATCTGTGAAACTCCTTAACTATAATTTATCCAAGTTAACTTCAGTTAACCATTCAGACAGTTCTTTTGCAATGAAAAACATAAACACCCATGCTGGTGTAGGTTTCCTCAGTGCCAGCTGTTAACATTATAGCTGCTTATGCCCAGTAAATCTCTCTCT